CCAGCCCAGCCCTTGCCCAGCGCAGTCGCAGCGGTACCGTAATTCTGGGGCCCGACGACGACTCGACGGACTCAATAGACTGGTTTGACGGCGGCGCGGGTGGACAATGCGGCTGCAGGCGCGACATGACACGACCGGGAGGCCGTTGTGCTGATGCCTCTCGGCTTGCCCCCGATTTCCAATGACTTTTACGAGGCCTACGGGAGACAATGGCCCCAGCGCACGTACTTACAAAAGAAAGTTTGATTAGGTAGTTGTATCGCCGTTGTTCAAGTCTCGCCGATTTCCGAAAAAAAAACAAAAAAACAGATCATACATCTAACTGCACTAATGCAAGTGTGCAGTTTGGGGTGGGCGGTGTTTTGCCTTGGGTCCGGTGACGACTTGTTCAAGTCAGTGCGCCTGCTGCTGCCGGTGCTACTGGAGGGGCGGCCCGGATGGTGCATGCTGCGTGCTGGACTTTCACCGCATCAGCGCGGTGGTCCTGGCGCACCCCGAGCAGTGCCACCGCCTGGACTGCCCACGTCGTCGCTGCGCCCAGCCCCGCCCCGCCTGCTGCTGTCATTGCACTCGGCGTGGTTAATCGAATTTCGCTTCCTGGTTCGCCCTGACGGCCTCACGGGGCACCCCGGGAGCGCATTGTCCCGGCGTCACGCCGATCCTCTTGTGTTGGCAAACAAAGTCGGTGTGACCGAGGTTGGTGGCACCACACCACCACCCCGGCGAGCGCTCCTAGCGGTGCTGTGGTGCATGGCCCTCTAACGCGTAACGGAGCCCACGTCATCCCCGTCCCGGTGGCGGGGCGATGGCCGGGGTCAAGCACCCCGCCACGATGCGCACCCCGTGCTCACGGCCGCCACGGTGGACTTTGGAGCCTGCGACGGCGTCTGCGTGGGGCTTGGGTGGCTTGGGCTTGGGGGGCCTCGCTTGCAGGTCAGCCCAGTGGTCTTTTCCCTGCCGGAACAATACTCCCAGAGCAAACAGTGATAGTGGGCGAAGGGTGCCTCCGGCTGGAGCCGGCGCGGGGTGGGGGGTGCGGGCGCCAAACTGGGCCCGTGATAACGTGTCGCATGTACTGTGTGTCATCTGTCGCTGACGTCCCCTTTTGTTTTTCTGTTTGTGCAGGTACGGTAGCAGCATGCTGACCGAGTACGACAGCTACATCCTGGCGGACGGCGGCATGGACGCCATCAGCAGCAGCGGCCAGGAGGACGCCGCCTACATGTACCGCGACCTCGCGCCCGCCGCCGGCCACTTCGACCACGCCATGTCGTCGGCGTGCTGGCCGCAGCAGCCGGCGCAACCACAGGAGGACGCGTACACGCTGACGGTGCTGAGCGACGCCAACGGCGGCCAGCCCCCGGGCTACAGCCTGCCGCCCTGGGGCTCGGAGCCCTGGCAGCAGCACGGCCCCGCGCACGCCGGCAACCCCTTCGACGACGACGCCGTCACGGGCTCGGACGGCAGCAGCAGCCCCGAGCGCCGCTGCGTGCGCTCGCTCCTGCACGTGGCCCTCCAGCGCGGCGGCTCCTTCGCGCAGCAGTACACCAGCTGCGGCGTGCCCGCGCTGCCGCCCATGGACGCGCCGCTGCCCGCCAGCCCCGCGCCGCCCTGCTACCTCAGCGCCGTCAAGCAGGAGCCGATGCCGCTCGCGTCCCCGCTGACGCCGAGCCCCGCGCCGCCCTGCTACCTCAGCTCCATGAAGCAGGAGCAGTCGCACCTGACCGACCAGCAGCTGGCCTCGCCCGGCGTGTTCGTGTCCAGCACGTCGTGCTGCAGCCCCCGGCCCGCCACCCCCGCCGAGTCCCTGCGCAGCTGCTACTCGCCGGCGTCCTCCAACTCGGCCTTCATGCCGCTGGCGCCCGCGCTGGGCGACGACGCCGGGGTGTCCACCACCACCAGCTACCTCCACCACGACGCCAGCGCGAGCGCCTTCTCGCCGGCCCCGCCCGCCTACAGCGCCTTCCGGACGCCGTACCCGACGCCGTCGCCCGACCCCTGCTTGCCCGCTTACCCGCGCCCCGAGCCCTACCCGGCGTCGCTCGTGCCGCTGCCCGTGCACCTCTTGAGCTCCATGCCGACGGCCACCCCGCCGCCGACGCCCACCTCGCGGGCCGCCAAGCGGCGCCGGAGTCGCGCTGCTGCCGCGCTCAACGGGGGCGTCGCCCCGGCGCCGCGCAAGAGGGAGCGCTCCGAGCGCCAGCTGCACCCGTGCACCCTGTGCGACAAGCGCTTCAAGGACAACTACTCCGTGAACGTGCACATGCGCACGCACACGGGCGAGAAGCCCTTCCCCTGCATCGTGTGCGGCAAGATGTTCCGGCAGAAGGCGCACCTCGCCAAGCACCGCAGCACTCACCAGCCCGACGAGTACGCGGCGGCGGCCGCGGCCATGGCTCAGCACGGCGCGCCCCTCGCGCCCATGGACTCTCTCGGCGACGTGGACGGCAACTCCAACAGCCTGCTCTGGTCCGACAAGTGCAAGGCTCCCAACGTGTGGAACCCCAACCGCGGCCCCATGGCACAGGCACCCGCGCTCAGCTGAGTACCGGCTGTAGTCTGAGAAAATGAATGGTAGACCTAACTTGCTCATTTCCGTGATATGCTCTGATTGATCTCACTGACTGTCCTATTATATAATTTCATATATTTTCATGGAGTCAAGTTTTAGTGTTAAGAGATCTGACGATGGCGGCTGTGTCTACTAGTGCGTGTGTTTGTGTGCGTCCATGTGCAATTATTGAATTCTGTAGTTTTTGATTACAAACGAACCCAAGACTTTCTCTGTAAATAATTTGCTTGGTGACTTTGTTGTAAATACCATGTCTAGACTGTGATTAATTAGGTAGGATAGATAAATTACCGAAATTTGTGTGTCGACTTACTACGTTCCAATTTATGCGTATGTATGTGTATTGTTTGATCGCTCAAAAATCGTGTATGTTTTTGTAAATATCATAGTACTTATTCTGTCTCGTTGTTCGTTATTGCCTAGTTATTGCATACTGTATTGATATAGTGCGGCTGCGCTAGATATATAAAAAATATATTTTACATGTATTGAACTGTTAAGTTGAAGTGTTTTATAAATGATATTATTTTTATGAGAGATGCAATAAATTTTATACCAATTTTGAGTAAATACTGTGTGTAGTAATCGATTTCCGCAGCTTCTCCCTCGGCCGCCTAGCAGCATCTGCCATAGCCTGCCGGACAAGCACTGGTGTCGGTTGGGTTGCCTATCCTCGCGATCGCAGGCGCTACGCGTTGGGCGCGTTTGTATGAGTTAATGGGGAGAGGGAAGCAGCGTATGTCCTGCAATATTGAAGTACACACTGCAATATTTTCATTTTTTTATAAAACAGATTTAATATACATAAAAAAGAGGTGTGCAGTACACATAGACATCACATTCGTCAACATGTAAAATACACGCCAAGCCCTCGCACTAGACTACTCGCGGGCGATAACTTTGTACTTTGGTCAAGTCGTAGAGGGACAGGGTGAGGGAAGGGGAAGGGGGTATATACATGGGCGTGGCGACGGCGGGTCTTGCCGTCAATGACTTGGGGGAGGGGCCTTACGAACTAGATGAGTGAGATGAGCAAATGGCGATGGTGTTTGGTAATATTCAGTCCCACCCGTGGTGTTCGTGGTGCTCTTCGTGCTTTTCGTGGCACACCTTCTCCCAGACTGGCACCTGGATTTTCTTCCAGTCAGGGACCTGGATCTCTTTCCAGTCAGGAACTTGGATCTCCTTCCAGTCGGGGACCTGGATCTCCTTCCAGTCGGGAACCTGGATCTCCTTCCAGTCAGGGACCTGAATCTCCTTCCAGTCGGGGACCTGGATCTCCTTCCAGTCTGGAACCTGGATTTCCTTCCAGTCGGGAACCTGGATTTCCTTCCAGTCCGGAACCTGTTGAGATTTCCATTCAGTCTTCCATTCCAGGACCTTCTTAGGCACCCAGATTTGCTTCTTCTCCGTCCTCCAGATCTGCTTCTTCTCCGTCCTCCAGATTTGGATCTTCTCTTCCTTGAACTCCTGAACCTTCTTTGAGATCCAGATCTGTTTCTTCTCCTTCCTCCAAATCTGGATCTGTTCTTCCTTCCAGGCCTGTTTCTTCTGGGTTATCCATTCTTGTTTCTTCTCAGTCCTCCAGATCTTCTTCCATTCGGGCTTCCAGACCAACTTCTTCTTCCAGACCTTCTTAGTGTGATGGTGATCATGATCATGACCATGAGGATCCCAGTCATCGTGATGGTCGTGAACGGGCTCTTCCACCCAGTACTTTTCCCAGACTGGCACCCAGATCTTCTTCCAGTCAGGAACTTGAATCTCCTTCCAGATTGGCACTTGGATTTCCTTCCAGATGGGCACTTGGATGGTCTTCCAGTCGGGAACCTTGATTTCCTTCCAGGCAGGGACTTGAATTTCCTTCCAGACGGGCACTTGGATGGTCTTCCAGTCAGGGACCTTGATCTCCTTCCAGTCAGGGACCTGAATCTCTTTCCATGCGGGGACCTGGATTTCCTTCCAGACTGGGACTGAGATTTTCTTCCACTCGGTCCTCCAGATCTGTTTCTTCTCCGTGCGCCAGATCTGTTTCTTCTCCGTGCGCCAGATCTGCTTCTTCTCCGTGCGCCAGATTTGCTTCTTTTCGGTCCTCCAGATTTGCTTCTTCTCAGTGCGCCAGATCTGCTTCTTCTCGGTCCTCCAGATTTGCTTCTTCTCGGTCCTCCAGATCTGCTTCTTCTCGGTCCTCCAGATCTGCTTGTACTCGGTCTTCCAGGCGAGCTTCTTGTGGCACTCTACCTGCGGCTCGTGGTGGTGGTGGTCGTGGTGGTCGTCGCCGCCGCCGTAGCCGCCGACGTCGCCGCCGCCACCGTATCCGCCGCCGTCACCGCCGCCGTAGCCGCCGACGTCGCCGCCGCCGCCATAGCCGCCGCCGCCGCTGCTCTGTTCCCAGCCGCCGCCGTAGTCCAAACTGAAACAAGAGCGGGATCCGGATTAGGGAACCGGTAACGCACGCCTCACCCTCACCTCAAGCGCCGGGCCGCATTCCGAATTAATTAGAGACGGGATCTCGTTTGAGAAGGCGTCCGACCGGGCGAAAGTGACGTGGAGGGGGAGGGGGGGGGGCGTCCCACTCTCGATAACACAAAGCCCGGAGGAGAGGGGGGGGGAGAGGGGGCTACATCGTTGCCCCCCCATGTCGCCGCGCTACGCGGCCCGATCAGCTGACGGCTCTGGAATTCCCTCCCGCCACGCGGCTCCAGCCGAGCTCCAGGAGGCGGCGGGTGGGTGCCCCCCCCCCCTCCTCCCGGACTGGTTCAGGAAACACCTGCCGGCCGCGGCACGACAGAGAGTGGCGGAGCAGAGCCGCACGAGCCGTGGGAAAGACAGAGACGGATAGCGACACGTTTCCCACCTCTCTTTGGCCAACAGCGATTGAAGTCCCCCCCCCCCCTCCTCCTCTCCTCTGCTTCCCGGGTGGCGTGTACTCCCGATCCGATCGATACTATCGAAGGACCCCTGCGCCGCTGGCGCCGGCTGCAGCGGCCGTGGGAAGAATAATCGCCAAAGGGCTCGCTTGTTTGCGCAACTAGTTTTTAGAACTGTGCCCGCACTGCTACAGCTGCAGCTGCACTGCGTTTTTTTTTTCAGTGGAATGAAATCAGTGCGTTGGCAATAGTGCTGTTGTCGTGCAGAGCGCGGGTATGTTACATAACCGCGTGTGGGAAGAGTCAAATTTAAATTTAGGTGGGCATGCCCATAGCGTCGCCCACCGTATCGCCCAAGCCCAAGCGAGTAGGCAAGCCCGTCCGCCTGCATGCGGTTTACAGTATAGTATGACAAAATAGGAAACGGGGTCAATGAGACACCCGGTTTAAAACTTTGGTAAGGTGCAATATTTTCCCTCTACCGGTATATGAAAGGTTTGACGACGAGAAAGAAAATCTCTCTGCGACGTCGTCACTGAAACTCCCGATCAACTTTCGGAGCGACAAACATCAACGTTCTCGCCGTGTTTACTCACCTCTTTTTGGCGCGAGTGACCGCGTCTCCGGGTTGGGCCTGCACCTGCACCTCCTGCTTCTTGGTCTCAGCGACCGCCGTGGCCGCCGCTGCGGGGTCGGCTGGGGCTGCCCATGCTGCTGCCAGCAGCAGGCACCCCACCTGTGGAACAGGAACGGCGACAAGGGGGAGGGTTAGAGAGAGCGGGTCTCGAGGGGCAGAAGGGGTGCTGGTTAGAGAGACCCGTCGGAAAGCTCCGTGACCTCTTTGGAGAGAGGAAATGAGGTAACTCGAAATAAAGCACTGTCTCAGTCAGAAATAATTTATCGATCGAAATAAATTTTGAAGAGAACACTATGGTGACTTTTAAATCGATTTTAACAAAAGAGAGAATTTTTCCCTCGACGTAAAATTTGAAGCGACTTTTTATTTCTGCCAGGGACATGAGCCTTTTTCGACAAGCTCCCTAACCATTACGGTGTGAGTGGCAACAGTGCATCGAGTGCGTCGAGGTGAACAGTGCACTTTTCATCCTTGTACTGACACACTTCACGCGAGAAATTTTATCTCGAATTTTATATCACAATCGCGATGAATCGAATCGCGACGGACAACCCCGAGGGGGGGGGGGGGCACGCTAGATACGCGAGATAGATATATTATAGAATTGATCGGAAAGGGGAATGGAGAGCGCGAGGAATGCATTGGCGGAGCGGCAAGCAAGATTTTCCCACGGGCCGGCGCCGGGCCAGCCAGCGAGCCTCGTCGCGCGGCTAACCGGCGCGTATCACCGCGCATCACGCCCCGCCAGGTGACACAAGCCCGCCCCGCCCCGCCCCGCCCCGCCCCGCCAGACGTACACATTGCGCGCACTCCCGTCCCGTGTCGCGTCCCGCGCGCAATGGGCGGATTTTGCTCACGTGCGCGGCGCTGCGCGGCGCGGCGTGGCGCGGCCGGGCGACCCCGCTACGACCCATGTCGCACACAGCGGGGTGCTGTGCTGGCGCGGTGCTGACGAGAATCCCCGAGCATCCTCTCAGCAATAAAGGGGAAAAGAAAAAAAAAGGTAACCGAAAAGGTTGTATAGTGTGGTACAATCCACAATCAAAGGATTAAAAAGATAAATTTCAGCAAGAGAGGAAGAAATTTTGAGGAATATTTCTGGTTCCTCATCCACGCGCGCGGGAAGGAGCTGCGGGGTTGTGCCGGACTGGAGGACGCCGCGGTCCACTGGAAACGCAAGTGTGTGTATGTCGCACACTTGAAGGTGTGAGAATGCCCATTCGTACACTTTAGGGAGTAAAAGTGTGAAATTTCCTTTGGAATTCACACACTTGAACCTCCATATGTACAATAGTAGTTCACACACCTACAACTGTGCGACATTCACACACTTGGGTTTCTTGTGTAGGCAGGCATCAACCGAGTGAGGCGTGCACCCTTAACACGAAGGAGTCACGATGACATCAGAGTGATGCCACTATAATGTCGTGTGGACGTCAAATCGACACGCGTTTTTTTCCGGGTTTGAATCAAAATTTTGACCGCTGACACCAGTCACAGTTGACGTGCAGTCAAAATCACGTCGTTTCAAACAAAACTTTGACTCAAAGTCCGGATCAGAGCGTCGTCACGATGACGTCACCGTGACCGTTTCGTGACACGTCCTAACGGCGGCGGCGGGCGGGCGGGTCGGGCGGCGGTCGGTATGGCGAGTAATCCCAATGGCGTGGAGCGGGCGGTATCCTTGGAGCACTGTAGCACACTGAGCACTGAGACACTGTAGCACACTGTAGCACACTGTAGCACAACGATAAGTCCAGGGGGGCGCTGACCAGGAGTGAGGCCGGCTTCATGCTTGGTGTGTGATGTCCGCCGGAGCACGGAATGCCCGCCCGCTCCGCCAAGACTCGGTTTTATACCGGCCCTCCCCCTCGCGGGCGGGCGGCGGGCGTGGCGCGGCGTGGCGGGGGGCGTCCACCTGCGCGGGGCGGGGCGGCGCGGCGCGGGCAGGGGCGTCCAGGGGAGGGGCCCGCCAGGCTCGGCCCGGCCAGGGGGCCATCCGCGAAGGGAAGGGGAAAGGGTCCAGCAGCCAGCCCGTCCAGCGAACACAACAGGTTCTGCTCCCGTTTGCATAACCCCGCCCG